GGGGGGGGGGGGGGTGAACGAGGGGCTTTTCGCTGCCCCTTCCCCCTTCCCAGGGGCTTAGGTACTAGTTGTTTTACTGTGCAAAAGTTTGTTCAACCTTCGATGAGGGGAGAGAGGTGTAGTGAGACGACTGGGGGGGTAGTGGGGTTGCCGATGCGGTGGTCAGGTATGAGGAAGGGGGTGGGGAAAATCCCCGCCCCCTCCCTCTTCTCCTGCCTCCTTCGAGGACACCGCTCTGGATCCGCCTATGGCTTCCGAACACGCACAGAGATGACCTCTCGACAATATCCGTTTTTGCTCACTGTAGCACCGCTATAACGCTGCACAGCAAAAGCGCATAAAAATCAAAATGTACTAGTCATTGAGCTGATGCTTTCATACTTGCAGGTCCTCAAACGCACAACTTACAAAGGCTGGCGAACCAAAGTGATTGACATTGTTTACCCGACACAACATGATTCCAAGGTATTTTCTTTTAATTGTAATGGAAGTTTTAGAGATACAGTGAATACCCACATGACCAGGACATTAGAGAAAGACGGAGGGCAAGGGCCTAAAAGCGTCTTTGTTTTGACTGTACAAAGCTAAGAAGCTGAGACTGTACAAAGCCTACAGCATGCGAATCTGTGTTTGAGGGAGCATTTGCTTCCATGCATCTTTGTGGTTTTAAAAAGCATTAAAAAACCACAGTCCAAGCCTGATCTTGCGATAGGACGTTTATAGAAACAAAAATGAGAACAAAACAGTTTTTCGTGCTGTGGTTTTTTATTTGGCTTGCAATGCTGCATGGAATTCTCGCAACATAGTTGACATTTTATTTGTTCTGATTATCGAGATTTAACTGAAAGTTATCCATGACGTTTTCAAAAAACTTTGGATGCTTTCTTGCCTATAATTCAACAAATGTGACATCACGTTGCATATGCTGTGACTCACTTAGCTTCAGTGAATCTTACTGGAAAATTTTGCGAATAAGTTTCAAAACTACGAGTAATGAAAATAATTTTGTTATCTGTATGTACTAGCTATTGTCGAGTTTATAGGGACTGGTTCCGGCTCTGGATCGAATATGTAGTGAAGCTTGTGCTGCTGCGCTGGATGGTTATCAAGTAATTGTCCTGTCGGATCGGAGAGTCTGTCGACAGTTGGTCGCAATCAGCCCGCTTCTTGCCCTCGGTGCTGTTCATCAGTGCTTGCTGAAACAGCAGTTGCGTATGAAGGTAGCATTTAGTATGATTATTTATGGCTGAGCACGAACTGACTTATCGCTTTGAGCTCTGAGTTACTGCTGCACTGTGAGAAGCATACATCCGGAAATAAGAATTTCACTGAAATTAGCATCTTTGTTTTTTCAACTTTTCACCTCTGATGTCCTCATGAGGATGAGGTAAGGTGAAAAATGAATGAACTCCTCTGGGCGCGGTTCTGAAACATGGTAAGCGCTATATTTTTTTGCGAAAAGGATGTGTGATTTTATTTAAAATTATGGATGCTGAAAATCAAAGTATCGTCGTCTGCTAATTTAGCTGCATTTTAGGCTTGGATTTTCACAAGTGGTCATTGCACCCTGTTTGTTGCCCATGCTTTTAAACGATTAAACTGCCATCAGCAACTCTTTCTGCCAGCATCTCCTGACTGTTAATAAAAACGTCTGACATTGCTAGTAACATCAGTAGCGAGAAAAGCAAAGCGAGCCTGTACTCAACAGATATGAATTTAAGGTGGCACTGATTGTTGAATCGGGCCAAGTTAAACTTGTACACGACTTCTGCGTTTTGCTTGGATATGGTGCGGATGCGATTTGTCCATATCTGGTCTACGAAACGTGTCATCGGCTTCGCAATATGGGTCTTTTTGATGCCGAAATCAACGATGAGCAGGTTTTTCGGGATTGTTTCTTAATAGTGTTTCGATGATTGTTTTTAGATACCAAGAATGCCAGTGCGGCCTCGATACTCAGTATGGGTATTTCATATTAGTAATTTTGCTGGAATGCTCCCACCCGCCGGACACAGCGCAGCTGTACCGGTACCTTGATCCTGTATTGCATACACTCAGTTTGTTTCTTAGTGTTAGTCAAAGTAGCTGCTGGTGTTGTTATTATTGGACCTGCTTTCATATTTTTCCATAAATGGATATAATAACAAAAACAGTTTAGCGAAACGTGTTGTGCCATTATTTAATTTAATTATTTAAGCAGATGAGAAAACGTTATTTTTGTTAGAGTTATTGGTCATAGTCCACGAAGCGCGCGCTGAAGTTTGTGATCCAGTTAGAATTTGAGTGAAAAAAGCAGTGATGGCCATCAGCTACCTGAAAAAGCAGAGCAGGAGAACTGGAATTTTACCGTCCAAAGTGCTAGAGCGAAAAAACCCTTTAGTCTTTTTAGTGGTATCATGTTGGAAGCAGTGATTTATAAATGCAAGAATTAATCTTTAATAAAAGCAAGTGGACAGCAAGTCGCCAGTCTTAAGGAAGGCGATATGATTCGGAGTGGGCTTGAAGTTCATGAATAAACAAGAAATTTAAATCTCTCGTGAGATGAGTAGCTTCTGGGGAATTGTCAATATCGAAAAAAATTGAAATCCGCAAAACGGGATAATATTACTTAGCTTTGCTGATCCCACGTACTAGTGAGACTTTTTTGAAAATTTGGTGCACATATGTTGCTTGGGAAACAGATATAAACTGGAGACTTCGGAAGAAAGAGACTACAACGTTTGCTGCAATGCTTGAATAGATTAAAGTAGCATCGAGGATTGCAGCCTGATAATGCAAACGATCTTTTTAATAAATTATCATTCATGTTGTTACATCTGTGATAAATTATCACCTCCGTTTTTTACGTTAGTTGAAATGAATCGAAAAAATTTTCAAACATTTTCCAGGTCGAAAGTCCTTATCACTGATTTTGGAAAATGCATTTTTCTAGGTTAATAAGCCTGGAACATATTTCAAATCCTACCTGTCTGATGATCCAGAAAAACATGCTGTTACAGGTATTTCAAGGTTACAAGGCTGGTATCGAAAGAGGAATTTTCAAAGTAATGGCAAAAATGGGGATCAGCACTCTGCACAGTTATAAGGTACTTTATCCACAATGTGGGACTTAAGAATGCTGTCATTCTGGATTGCGCTTTGCGTCGAGAGCACAATTTATCCAGAGCAGTTCTGAATTTAAAAACATGCAAAACTAATGCCATTTGATTTGTAGCTCAATTTCTGATTTTTCACACAGTGTTCAATGATTCATACTATGAATTTCAGTCCAATATTAAGAAATTACATAAACTCGAGCACGGCAGCCACGAGCAATTTCCATTCAAACCTAAGCCTGGTAGTCAGGAATTCATCAAGCTGAGGAGTACTTTTTTTTAAAAAGTTTGACGAGAAAAAAAAACAGTTTTTTCTTAAAGACCAACGAACAATCTCTAATTTGCCAACTGAAATTACAATGATTTGAATCGCTTAGTGTATTCAATATTTTTATTTGTTTATACCACACATAAAGACGCCGTACTGCTATAACTCCACGAATCAGACTGGGATATATTTTGCCTTTTTAAGAATACGGAATTACTAGATCTGTATCACTGCTATCTTTCAGGGTGCCCAGATTTTTGAAGCTGTTGGATTAGCTGCCGAAGTTGTTGACCGCTGCTTTACGAATACAGTATCTCGCCTCGGTGGGGCTACTTTTGAGATTCTGGCAGCTGAAGCTTTGCGCGTGCATCGAAATGCATATCCAGCTCCCTCGGACAAAGATTACAATTATGGTGTGTGTTATCTCTAGTTTCAGTCATTCAAAGGTACAGTGGCTGCGTGTCAAACGAATTCAAATCCACTTTAGCTAGCAAAGCAAGAAGATTGAAAGCCCCTGTTTTTTTTTTTTTTTTTTTTTTTTGGGGGGGGGGGGGGGGGGGGGGGGGGGGGG